ACTCGACCTGACCTCGCATACCCTCTTGGTCTTTTGGCTCGTTACGTGGCTCCTGGCAGGCACCGAAAGGTGCACATGGATGCTGCCAAGAGGGTGTTGCGCTACCTGTGCAGTACATCAGGCATGGGGCTCGTGCTTGGAGGACGGAGTGAGGTGGTCCTCACTGGGCACTCAGACGCGTCTTGGGTTGACGACCAGACTACACAGCGGTCGTCACAGGGTTACACCTTCAGCCTTGGCTCTGGCTCTGTTTCTTGGCAGTCTACACGCTCGTCTTCTGTTCTCAGCTCCAGTTGTGAGGCTGAGATCTACGCCACCGCCATGGCTGCACAGGAGCTACGCTGGCTCACCTACCTGCTGACTAACTTAGGTGAGCGGCCTCGTTCTCCTCCAATTCTGTACGTTGACAACAAGGCGGCCATTGCCTTGTGTGAGGAGCACAGACTGGAGCACAGAACGAAGCACATCGCTCTGCGTTACTTCCTGGCTCGAGATTTGCAGCAGCGAGGCCAGCTTCGTCTTGCTCACGTGGCCACTCGGGCCAACACTACTGATATATTCACCAAGGCACTTCCGTCTGGTGATCATCAGCGCTTTTGTACTTTGTTGGGCCTTGTGCCTACGTTTCCACACTTGCTGTAGTCTCTGCTTGTACTGTGATCTATATATATACCTGCATGCTGGCTCTTGCTAGGTAGTCATCACTGTACTGTTATTGCTGCATGTATATCTCTGCATGTGAACTGGCCTTGTGGCCCTTGCTTGTGCTTGGAGTGTGTGGTGACGTTGTGATCCACCCTGAGCTTGCTTTGCTTCTCTTGACTGGTCGTGTGACCCCTTGTTCTCCCCCACTTTGCCTATGGGGGTGTGTCAAACATATATGCTGCATATTGTCTAGGCTGTAGTGGGGTAGCCCATAGCCCATATGGGGTACAACCCAATTAGGGTTTACTACTTGTACTCTTGCATGCTGCTAGTTCATCCATTCCTGCTGCTAGATTCTAACACATCCTTCTCACCGTCTACGTTGACGACCTGCTCTACACAAGCACCTGCAACCAGCTTCTCAAACAGTTCGAGGAGAACTTAGCAAAGCATGTAGATATTACCATCAACCACAAAGTCACTAATTTCCTGGGCCTGAACATCACCTACGCGCCAGAAGCAATTCATCTGTCAGCTTCGAAGTACGCAGAGCAGCTAGGGGAACGCTTCAACATCTCACGCGCACCACTCTCAACTCCCTACCGCAACCCCAGCGCCAACTACAAACCGGACAACGAACCTCTGTCCCCCACCGTCAAATGTACCAGCAGCAGCTAGGTTGTCTGCTGTTCGCTTCTGTCACATGAAGACCCGACCTTTCGTACATCGCCAGCCAACTGGCACAGTACTCCCGCAAGCCAGTAGCTGATAACCAACTGGACCTGGAGCGCGCCATGTAGTTTCTCATCTCCACACCTGACATCGGCCTCTCCTACTCCACGTTGCCAACAACATCATTCAACCTCAACGGCTATGTAGACGCAGATCACGCCGTTGACCCTGCAAATCGACGGTCCCGAACCAGCTTCGTCTTCCGACTAGAGCCAACTGGCCCCATCTCTTGGAACTCGCAGAAGCAGGAACTGGTTGCCCTGTCATCGGCTGAAGCAGAATACATCGCCGCGACAATAGTAGTTCGCGAAGGCCTGTACCTGCAGGAGCTGCTACAGGAGGCGAAAATCCCAACTTCGCCTACTTTTTTCTTACACTGCGACAACCAAGGCGCCATCAAGATCGCGAACAAGCCAGGGTTCGTGAACCGCACGAAGCACATCGCACTGCGGTACTTCGCGTACGAAGCCAGGGATCGTCAAGGACAAAATTCACCAGGGCAAGGTTGACCTCGCGTACTGCCCAACCATCGAGATGGCAGCCGACTTCCTCACCAAGCGCCTGCCACGTCACCAGTTCAAGCACTGCTCTGACCTCAACGGAGTGGCCAAGCAAGTCAGCACCCTTCGCGTCCAGGAATGAAGGGGAGTGTTACGATATGAAGTTTTATAAGAAGGCACCCCTCTATGCTGCAGGAGCCGACTCTACCGAGTACGAAGTCGAGGAGTCAGAAGAGTCGAAGCGACACAGCAACCGTCTGATCAAGACCGACGCAGGCAGAAACATTTGAACTGAAAAACGCGGGAACAGGTTTGAAACTGGTTCCCGCGCCGCACGGTTTGAATTTCGCTGCAATAAGGGAATGTACCCCTTAGAGTACATGGCTAGTCTAGGTCGTTTCGCATTCCTTTGTATTTCTATATAAACCCTATGTATGCATGCTATTATCAATCTCAGTCATTTACATTCACTCTGACCTGAGTTCACTACTTCCGCTGCGACACAACCTGCAATCTGCCCTGAACGATCCTTTCGCTAAGTCACACTTCAGATTGTAACAAACTCCTACAACATCAGAAGACATGGCAACACAGAAGGAGAGAAGCTCTTCTAATGGCTCCGTCAGTACTACTTGTCAGAAAATGATATTGTGTAGGCTGTAGTGGGGTATGCTGTAGTGAGTACAACCCAGTTAGGGTTTCCTACTTGTATCCCACCTGCCTGTTAGTCAAACCCTCTTTTGCCTATTCTCTCTTGCCTAGCTAGCTAAACCCTAGCTATGGCTCTTGCGTTCTAGCTACTGTTTCAACATGGTCAGAGCCCTTACGCTCCTGACCTGTGCGCCTGCATGCTTCCGCTGCCATACTGTCTGTCGCGCGCCCTGTGGCGCGCGATGTTTTTTTTTTTCTTCCCGCCACGCGCTCGGGGTGGGTGGCGGTTTCCTGCCCGCCATGCGCTCGGGGCGCCGCGCCTGGGGGTCCGCGCGCTGTCCCCTCCCATCACCCGTCGCGGCGCCCTGGGGGCCCGCGCGTCGCCCCCTCCCGTCGCCCGTCGCGGCGCCCTGGGGGCCCCTCGCGCTGTCCCCTCTTGTCGCCTGTTGCGGTGTCTCGGGGGTCCGCGCGTCGCCCCCTCCCATCGCCCGTCGCGGCGCCCCGGGGGCCCGCGCGCCGGCCCCCCTCCCGTCGCCCGTCGCGGCGCCCTGGGGGCCCGCGCGCCGCCCTGCCCGTCACCCGTCGCAGCGCCCCAGGGACCCGCGCGCTGCCCCGCTTCTACTCGCACGCCGCCCCAGCTGCTGCCCGCGTTTTTGTCCCGCGCCGCGCACGCGCCGCCTGCGTTGGGGGTGTGGGGGTGGCGGGTATGGGGATTGCGAGTGCGTAAGCCATCCCCTGCTCCTCCTCCTCCTCCGTCTCCCACTGCTGCAGCTGACGCTAAGGGGGGTGGGTATGTGGAAGCCAAGGGAGTGGCGCTAGGGGGGTGTCGTGGGAGTGGAGCTAGGGGTGCAGCAAGGGGTGTGTGAAAGGGGTGTGGGACAGTTGGGGGAGGTTGACCGGAGGTAGCCGTTGTGACGTCAGCAGCGCCAGTAGTCCGGGGCCCTTGCTCCGGTAGCCCAGCGAGCTAGTCGCTGCGCCAATCGCACGTGAGTCCGTTGCTCCTGCCGCTCGTCTTAGCGCGGAGCCAGTTACTCCTGTAGTCCGGGGCCCTTGCTCCTGTTGCCCGTGTGTCTACGGCATCACCCGTCGCCTCCTATCTCCACTCCTCTCATAGTTCCTCCTCCTCCTCCTCCTATTCTCTCTTGCCTAGCTTGCTAAACCCTAGCTATGGCTCCTACGTTCTAGCTACTGTTTCAACACTACTCCTACTCCACCTCCAGCCTCTGGCTTACAGACAGTGGGAGACACAACGACAAGACCAGCTGCTGAGTCTACTGAGACTCCCGCGAACCAAGCGACAGGCTTCGACCCAAGCATGATGGAGAAGTTCTTCTCCTTCATGTCCTTCTACGAGCAACACCAGCAAGCAGCACCAGCGCAGTCCAACAACAGCAGCAACAACAACGACGTCACACCCAAGTCTCGACAGCTCATCCTACGCGTGCGGAAACTAGCAGGCCTGCCTTCGCTCCGTACGAGCCTCAACGCGGCTTCATCAGCTTCATGCCGCAACCTTCACCTGAACAAGAGAAGACACTGGATGCACTTTAGATTCAATCGCAATTCATGCCCGTCGTAGAACTGTAGATGTCAAGACCATTCGATGGTAAGAATTTCTATACCTGGTCGTTCGAGTTTGAGCTGATGATAGAAGGCGCGCAAATCCTTGGGTTCTTCGACGGTTCCCTGCCATATCCAACGCACGGGACGCAATACGACAAGCAGCCGTATACGAGACAGTCGCTGATGGCGTAGACGATCCTGCTACGCAACATAACGCCGAACGAGCAGCAAAACATCCGGTCTTATCGCGGATACGGAAACTCCGCCGAGCTCGCGTACAACCACCTGAAAGGCTTGTATCAAGCAGTAGACACTGCACACCATGGGTCTCCAACTCCGCATCGTCCTGCATGGCATGCACGGCACGCATGCCACGCACACCATGCATGCCACGCACACCATGCATGCCACGCACACCATGCATGCCACGCACACCATGCATGCCACGCACACCATGCATGCCACGCACACCATGCATGCCACGCACACCATGCATGCCACGCACACCATGCATGCCACGCACACCATGCACAGAGGCAGAAGCAGTGAGAACGGTGGGGTTGAATAGTGAGCTTGAGGGTAAATGCACACCTGCATTCTGGGTGCAAATTTGAAAAGAAG